CTATCCTTAGTGTGTACAAGCTGGGTGCGTAAGGTAGTCGTCGGCTTGTGCGCCACTTTTATCTGGTGTTTCCTCAAGTGTCTTTCAACAAGTTCAGACACATTCCTGATGTAAATAGTTCAATAAAAGCTAAAAAAGTAGAAGCGTGCCCTATAGTAAATGCAATTTAATTTTTCTTGCAGACCGGCGGTGCGGGCCAGACCGAAAGTCAGTTAGTCCTGGCATGATTTACCAACAACGGCGGACTAAGTACTAAACTCAAATGAGCTGATACAGTTTTGTCAGAGTAGAGTATTGCTGTCGATATTCCAGACATGCAGATGCGGCTAGAGCATGAGGCAGAAAGCCCGAAGGCGGCAGGCTGACGGCTTTGTCTTAAGATGTAATCGTTGTGGCAGGAGAAAGGCCCGACGAACGGGGTTGATGTTTTAAAACATTTGATTATCCTTGAAGAAATTTATGAGGATCTGCCTTGCATTTGTAAGGAGCACAAGACTAAAACATCGCCTGCACAACATTTTAATATCACATACAACAGCAGTGGAGTGGTACTCAGTATGCTGAAGTGTGTGTTCAACAACACTCATAAGGCAAACCAGACAACCCGACGCCCAGGTGTGGAGGCGCAGATAGATAAAATAATGATATGCCGCTGCATATACAAAATTGGCAGGCTGGGAAGACATTTTTGGCTTCTTGAAATGTACGCTACTAAGCTAACGAAAGCTGTGTTTTAGCAAGCGACCAACCAAACTTGGCAGGTGCTAAGACACGTAGTAATTAAGTGGGTCGCAAAAGGTGGTGTAACCGCAACGGCTGAGTGGAGGGCATACACCCACCTCCGCATAGAAGGATACGGAAGCTACACGGCAAACCACCGCGCTAACTTCGGTGGCCCCACAACGATAAGGCAAACAGACGCTATAGAAGCATACTGAACCCACCTTAAAAGGACAATACGCGTAGGAGCCACCGTGTCCCGTCGAGTTGCATGGGCCCACGTGGACGAAATACGATTCTGCCTTTGATTTGGGCTGAACAACGTTGGCCTAAAGGAGCGATTGGAGACCTTTCTATCCCATATTGCTGACGTATATCCCATGCGATGACAGTATCCTAGATAAATCTCTGAAAGCAAGGCCCCTGAATCATTCATCTACCATGTACATAACTCTTTTACATAAAGTACATCTAAATGCTCTGTCTGTGATATGTTAAGAGGGTGGTTTGCACTATAAATCGTAACGGTAAGGGAAAATATCGTGTCATAATGTTCTCCATCGGGTACCTGGAAATGACAGCAATGTGGGCGGTGGGAATATGCATAGGGAGGCGCTTCTCGCATTCCCTCAACTGCGGACAAGTATTTTGTCTTTTACTAAAGGATTACATGCGGGGTGTGCAGAACAATGAGTCAATATAGGCATTTTTGCTGTATCGCCTCCTCGGGAAGTTAGGTTTCAAAGAATGTCATCCTGCGGGGCTTAGAGCCATCGAAAAGCATGACTAGATTCCGACCAAACCTCTACCGAAAAACGCCCACGTAGATAAATATGGTACGCAGTTCTCAATGGCGAACCCACCCCGGTCATTTTCCCTGTTCTTACCGAAAACACAAAGCCACTATGGATAGGGCAACCGAGCCCAATTTATCGACTGCACTGCAGATAGATGGACACGACCTAAACATATTCCGAACGTATTTAAATCTTCTTTATCGGGATGATCAGTGCGTTATTGTGTACAAAGCTGTCCATGTAAGAGAGGCAGACGCTTTGCCCTAACTTTGAATGAAACTTTGAGTTACACTGTGACAAAGGGCTTTAAAAATATGAAAGTCCCATTTGTGTTCATAACATATAGAGTGTGCTGCCTAAGTTCGATGGGCTGAAAGCCCACATCTGTACCTTTCCAAAGACGTCATCTCCTTTAGGGAAACTCGGTTGCCTGAAAACGTGTCTGACCGCGAATCGACACCACCTGGATTTCACCTGGTTTAGAAAGAGAAGAGAGAACGCCAGGGAGGGGGAGTACTTATGTTCGTAAAAGATGGACCGCTTGTTCTAGAAAAAATAGCACAGCTGACATGCGGCACAGAAACTCAGTCGCTATAAAAGTACAGGGATCGTAAGGCTTGAAGTTCTGACTGTTTATACTACACCAAGAAATGCTCCCGAGACTGATGCTGGCTTACTAGAGGAACTAGAAAAACACGTTGGCTCCTGCGGTTCAACGTTATCAAATGTAGCATACTTCGCCTAGGCAACACAGCCAGATCCGCCAGCACAAGAGGCTACTTTCTGGGCGGTGCAGCCCTACAAGAGGTCGAAGCCCAAAGGGACCTCGGTGTGCTGACGACGAGTTCCCTAAAACCATCCGCCCACTCTTCGAGGGTGGCAAAAACCGCAATGTCCGTGCTGTACGCCATCAAGCGTGCGTTTATGGACTTTGACGAAGAAGCTTTCTCTAAGACATTCGGAACATTCGCCCGGCCGCATTTAGAGTACGGCATACAAGCTTGGAGGCCATGGGCTGTTGTGGATCAAAACTGCCTCGAAAGAGTCCAGAGGAGAGCCACAAAGATGGTTAGGGGTCAAAGCTCCTTTCCTTGTGCAACCCGCCTAGTAAATCTGAACATCTTTCCTTTGAGTTGCAGGCAACTTCGCGGAGATCTCTTGCAAGCCTTCCGCATTGTAAAGGGGTTGGATTGCAGTCTTTCCTTCGAGGACTTTTTTGAATTTGCTACCACGACCAACCTCCGAGGTCACCCGTTAAAACTGCGCACTCAGCAGGCACGGCTGGATGTGCGGAAGTTTTCCTTCTCGGTTCGGGTGGTCAAACCATGGAATGAGCTTCCCGCAGATGTTGTGATGTCATCATCTATACAAAGTTTTAAGAAGAATCTGGACATATTTATGTTCCGAAATGACCAAGAGCGATGAGAAGTCAAGCTCACCCCCTCTAACTCCTTCTCATTTTGTCCCACCATTATGGGCGTGTTCGAACTATTTCAGCACAGAACATCTATCTGTACACCACACATTTTTTACGTTGCAAATAGGGTACTCAAAGGCTTACGCCTATTTCCCTCAATAAACTGAACTGAACTGAACGTTACTCGGCCGACCATCTTGGTCATATGGAACTTTAATGCACCACTCATTAGCTAATGTTCACTTTACGTGCATGCTCTAGGTGTTCCGATGCTCCAAAGAGCACTTACAGGAATAAAAGCAGCAAAGCAACACTTTTAAATGTGAGGCTACCAAGCTGCGTAGGAAGTTCAAATTAAACATACTGCAAAATTCGTCGGATCACTTCTAAATTCTATATTGCTATATGCAGAGTACTAAAAGAACTCAAGAACAGATTCCAGCCACAAAGTTTGCAGACGGAAAACGGAAGACCGACAACCAGGTTAAAACATATCTTCTTTCTGCTTTCTTTCAACCCGTCTTCACCCCAGAACCTGATTATTTTTTTGCACTTCCACCCGTTCGCCAACCAACGCTTCTTCCATTTTTTCCCTCACCCTTTCCATTTTTACCCTGCTCAATCAAGGGAATACACTTTTCGTCAGCCGTAGTTACGGCCGAATTACCCCCACTGCAATCTGCTAAATCGCCTGGTCCGGGTAGAATTCAAGCATTAGTAATTCGAGAATTTGCTAATGAACCGTGCGAACCACTGTCTACCATATCTCAAAAGTCATTTGAAAAAGGCGAACTCCCGGCAGATTGGAGCGTGCATTCGTCACCCTGAACCATAAAAAGATAGGCGACGTGACTGCGAAAATTATCGTCCTTGATGAAGAAGGCACGATCGCCGGGACAAGTGCTTTATCAGCCTGACGTTTCGGATTCCTGCTAGAATCCATCATCAAAGACAAAAGCAGATAAGGGTAGTTCATGCATATGCGGCTGCAGCATTTATAGGATGCAGTAGCCATGCCACCGCATCCCTATGAATATTCACGGCCCCCCTCCCCTCTTCATCAGGGATCGTTGCACGTGGCGTGATGGCCGACATTCGCGCCGTTAATTGCTACAATTTCATCACGTGCGTTGGATGTTGGTGTGATGATTGCTCGACCATCTGACGCGCTGACCCGGGTGTTGGGAGGAGTGTTCACCTGTGCGCTTCCCGGGTGGCCAATTACTCCGCCTAGGCAAAGTCTCAGCACGGAGTATTAAATGGGAAGATCATTGCACTTGTTAATAGACTAGGGGCCGGTAAACCATGACTCAAGCAGCCCCAACTCACGCGGTTGTCACCTCTTGCGATAATTTCGGCCTTGTCAAATTTGAATGTGTGGCCGGAACCCGTCGAATGAGCCGCAACTTGAGAGCTAGCGTCATTTCTCCGAACCGCTGCAGCATGTTCGGTCATTCGCGTTTGTGTAATCTTCTGGTTTCTCCGACATAGTTGCTTTGTGCGTAACTGCACCAGATCCAATAAACGACTCCAGACGTTTCTTGCTGTGGCAATGGGTCTTTCGGTTTCATTAACTGACACGTGATGGTTGCCGCCGGTCTGTGTGCAACTCCAAGCCCAAATGGTGCGAGAAGGCGGCCAACAGCTCCCGAAACGTTCTTGACACATGGAAGCGCTCGCCAAACTTTGGTGTCCCTGCGGTTAGGCCTTTCGTCCCTTTTGCGTATGCACCGGTTGACGAAGTTGCGCGGGTAGCCATTGGCTTTGAAGACCCGTCGGAGGTATTGTAGTTCAGCAATTTTGTCTTCCGGCTCACTGCAGTGCGTTTCGACACGCCGATAGAGCGTCCTTACACAACTGCGTTTGCGGCTGATTGGATGGTTGCTGTTGAAATTCAGTACTTGCATCGTATTTGCCGCTTTCCCGAACACTTTGGTCTTTAGTCCACCACAATCCTTGCGGCATACGAGGACATCCAGGAAGGCCAGTTGGTTGTTCTCTGCCTTCTCCATCGTCAATTGTATGTCCGGGAAGACCGCATTCAGACGTTCCTTGAATGTCAGCAGTTAATCCCTGTCGATAACGGCGAAGGTATCATCCACATACTGGGCCCAGAACTTCGGTTTGTGGTGTTGGAAGACCAGCGACTCTAACCGTTGCAGGACCGCCTCGTCGATGAACCCCGAAATCGGCGAACCCATTGGTGTGCCCTTCACCTGTTCGTAGATTGTCCCCTCTAACGAGAAGTATGTCCTGAGACAGAACAGAATTGAAGACTCGCTTTCATGAGCGCAAACTGGCAACTCGGCGACTGGACGCAAACTCACAGCTTGCGGCTCACATCGGAGAAACTGGTCACAGTTTTGATTTTCGAGCGCAGCCGTCTTAGGCAGGGGCGCCTCCAGGACAGAGCGTCTCACGCTTGAGGCTTGGGACTCAGATGCCAACTCCATCGACAGACATTCAGACCCTCCTGCGGCCCATAAAGTCCTACGTCACTACATACGCCGTGACGAAGACAAGACATTCATACGGAGCCTAAGACTACCGAACAAACACGGCCTGTCGACCAATCCGCCCAAAAGGGGGACACAAAGGCAACTAACCCCAATTGAAGTGACGACACACAATACAGGAGGCCACAAACACTCACAGGCGACGACCAGTAGGCCAAGGCGGCGAAAGAAGGAAAACATCGGTCGGCCAAAGACCAAGTAATCTGGCTGTCTATTCAAAATTCTGATCGATTGTTTCACTAGACGCTTTGAAAATGGAGAGCCGCCCTATCTCTTCGAAACGTCAGCCAAACAAGTCCCTCGATCCGGTGAACATTTTATTTTCCTCAGATTATCGACCTGGATTTCCTACTTTTGCTAACCTGACAGGACTTTTAATGTTTAATGCCCTGCCAGCACCAGCCCCTCCTAGCCCCGCCTAGCCCCATCAAAAGTGGCAGGGCTAGAGGGGGCTTTGAAGAGGCTAGGCGGGGCTGTGGAAGGGGCTTTGGCGGGGCATTCAACATGACAGCCTCGCCTGGCCCCACCAGCGAAATAAAACTCACAGGTACGCGGAAACATCAGAGGATCAAGTTTATTAACGCAAAAGGGCTATTTGGTGAGGGGACCAACCAGCTTTTGGGCCTGGTCAACCTATAATTAACCCTGTCAGCACCGGCCCGCGTAACTCCCTCAAATATGGCGGGGCTAGAGGGTACTATGAAGGGGCTTGGTGGGGCTGTAGAAGGGGCTGTGGCAGGGAATTCAACACGACAGCCCGCCTGGCCTCACCAGCAGAAAAAATGCGCAGGGAACGCCAGATTTCCACCCACTTTTGGCACTCCTTTAAAATATCGACCTGTTTGATGAGTCCCCTGAGGCGCACACAGATAATACCTGCCGGCAGACGTTTCAGAGTTCAGAATAGTCATTTCTCGTTCAGAGGATTGATTGCCAACTGCTGGCGACGTTGAGGGAACCTCAGACTCAGGTTCTTCAGTGGCCTCATAATATGCCTTCATCTGGTGCTTAATGAGCTTGTATATGGCGGTTCGGTGAGAACCACAGTAATTACGCTTCATAATTCCTTTGGATATTTAGTAAAAAACGATAAAAAATTTCTATAAGTAGACTTTGAATACCAATGCTAACTAGTACCTACATAGACATACAAGTCGTCTACTTGAACTGTTTTGTGAGTAAATATCCAAACAATTAGCATAAGATACATAAATTATTTAAGACAGTTATTAAGAGCATGAAAACAGCTTTGGTTGACGCACGATATTATCCGCGACCCTTGGGCGTAAACGAATGCTTTTTCCATGATTTACAAGCCATTTTTGATAAATTAGCTCCTTTTAATGCCAAAGAAGGTACAATAAGTGGCGCTTTTGAAACATAACTTTAGATGCAAATAAGCTTCAAAATGTTTCAATCCAGAGGGGGCTCTGGTCCCACCCAGCTCCTTCCCAGCCCCGTCTATGAAGGGGCCATGTGCTGGCAGGATGTGTAGAGATGCGTTGTCTTATGCCTAGACGCCGGCCAAACTGCCTCCCCTAAGCATCAGTACTATTGTAATAGGACAGCATTGGAAGACGAAGAAAGACACAGAGATGGTGTATGGATGACCGCAAATCTAATGCCATCAGAACGCTCCAGGAAGGTGGTCAGGAAGGCAAATATTACTTTACACTGGATCAGACGTGCACTTAAAATATTCTCCTCCAAAATCTTCGAAAGATTTTTAGTGTCTTTGTAAGACCCCACCTAGAATACGAAATGCCAGAAACTACATCATGGATGAAGGAGGCTATTGACCTATTCGAACAGATGCAGCGCAGAACAACGAAGAGGGTTGATGGTCTAGAAATTTTGTCGTATGGGGAGATGTGCTTGGCTTATTCCCTCTATCTTATAGGCAACTAAACCGCCATCTTCTCTGGGCATTCCGGATTGTCCGTGGCTATGTTTGCTCACTGAGACTGGATGATTTATTTGAGTTTGCCCGTACAGACTAATTACGCGACAATCCCTACATGCTTGTTTTCAATTCCTACCCGGGAAAAAATGCTTCAAAAACCCCTACAAAGTCAAGAGCGAAATCACGCGGGTAGACTGTAAGAAGTCTTCCTTCAGCCAACGGAATGTCTGACCGTGGAACTCACTATCAAGTGAGATGGTGACACTTGAGACATTTCGTATGTTTAATAGAAGACTTGTTCGCCTAATTTCCGACAAAGACCGACTTTTACAACATGACTACTCGTGACAACAGCCAGCGTTGTAAAACTTTTTGTATTAAAAGTGTTTACGTACTGAATCACAGTGAACAGAAGCGACTTCTTATTATTTGTGCTGTATTGTGAACCGATCACATTCTAAATGTTTACAATTATACTTTGTGTGAATGAATAAAGCAATCAATGTCTCTGCCTCTAACCCTTCAAATGCATAACAATAATGATGGTTGTATTTAATGCCAGTTTACAGGCGCGGTCAAAGAAAGATAAAACACAGATCGGGCTAACAGTGAAAAAGACTCCTCATGAATAAATACATCAGATGGTGTTTTTGTACTTTGGATGGTCCATGAGAAAAAAATGCTGCCCGTGAAATGACGGTAGTCCAAAAAGTGATGGGTAAAACTGCTTCCAATATTTTCAGTCTCAATTCCTTCCCATGAAAATGATGCTGGACCAAACCGAGGCAGTGAAGAACTGTTGCTCGCTGACAGCAGAAGAAATTGTCTGTGATGAGACAAGCCAGGGGGATCAGAGACCGCGAACTCCAACACTACGGTGGACTAAGTCGGTGGATTCAGCACACAAAATGTGTAGGACCTATTCGGAATAAAAAAAACTAGCAATAGTTCACTTAAACAAAAAATAATTTTGCAGAAGTTTTGTATTCCTGGGCAATTTGCTCCAAACTTTAATTTTGATCGTAAAAAAGAGCACGCAAAATTTAACGGTACGTGCCAGAGAAAGTAATAAAAAGACCTCACGGTGATTGTTACGCCGGGGGTGGGTAAGATGTTGAAAAATAGTAAGCATGTTAAAAGTACGGCTATTTAAGAGCTTAAACCGTAAAAATAGCCCCTTTTGAAATTGACGAAATCAGAAAGGATCAAGGCCTATAAGCCGGCAACGTTCTTGGTAAACCAAATTCCGGTGGTCTGTGGTTAAAATAATTTGGTAAAAAATGCTGGACGGATCCTATTTTCTTCCGACCAGCAACACGCATGAGGTTAAGTAAAAACGAACAGTATTGCAGGTCAGGTCTAACGTACATGTTGTAAAGGCGAATTATAACATCTCTAGTTTTAAAATTCTGAAGGAAAACCCGGTCGATCTACGTGTTTTGGAGACTATCACGGCGCAGTGCTCCCAAATATTAAGACACTAGGAATATGATAGCCCAGATCCTTAATTACTTCAGGCACATTTATGTCGTGACTGTCAATAATTAGTTGAGGTTGGTGACCGTCGCCAACCACCACGACTAAGCATTAATGCCAAGAAAGAGAAAGGCGCCATGTGCGACACCACTGGGCAAAGGCCTGTAGGTCGCTCTGCAGGAGTTCAAGCACGATGTCACGATCTGCCGGCTTATATTGATATGCAACATTCAGATCATCGGCATACATGAAGGGTTTGCCATTTTGACATACATCGGGTACATCGTTAACAAAAAGGCAACATAAAAGCGGGTCGAGTACACTACCCTGAATGACTCCACTCCTCACACATGTGGGGTTGGAGATGGCATGGGAAATCTTAACACGTTTTGTGCGAGCGGCAGGGTAGGGGGATGCAAACTTCAGAAGTTTAACACCTATTTCGAAAGGGGGAAGGTTTGAGGGAAAAAGAGCATGGTCAATACGATAAAAAATCTGTTAATGAAATCGAAATAGACTGTGTGAAGTGCAAAGCCATCGTCCCTACATTGGAGAACATGGTCAAAGAAAGAGAGCTGACAGGTGTCACAAGACCGAGCCATGAGTAATCCAAGCTGTTCGGCAATCAGTAAGTTATTTTCTGTTAAGTGACACGTCCTCCTATCTTTGATCAATATCCGTAAGATTTTTGAAACGGTCGTATTGGTGCTTATTGGCCGAAAGTCATCAAATGTTGATTGGCCATGCTTCGGGATTGGTAAACGTGTGGTTCCTTCCACTAATTAGGATAGGTTTCACGTTCGAGTGCGAGATTAAATATCTTGCAAAGGAGGGACAGGAAAATTTTATTTGCATCCCCTTTTAAAATGCTAAATGGGACACCATCACGTTCTGGAATATGAGATTGACGAAGACGCCGAATCACTACAGTCACTTCCCATAGAGTTAAAGTTATAGCTTTGGGAAAGTCCGCAGTCAAATCCTGGAGTGTCGGAAACGGAGCGGTCGACTTACAGTAAATGCTTTAGACAAGAAAGCATTGAAACCATCGACGGTAAACTGGGCATCAGCTATGGGATTCCCGAGAGCGTTTCGGAGGATGGGACGCTGCCTTATTCTATGAGTTCGGACTTTTTGAGAGAAAAGTTTCGGGATATTTAATGAACGGTTTTCGGTGAATTGGACCTCTTCGGCTATCCGTTTTTCTTCGGCCGATCTCTTAACCCGCTCAAAAATATTACAAATCGAGGGCAGCACGAAAACTTCGTTCTAAAAATGGAGTCGCCGAGAAGGTGCGAAACCTCAACCCCGAAATTAATTATTTTCTTACGGAGGATTAAAGGGGAAATAAACTGATCGAAAATTTTGTACAGTTTACCAGTGCAAACATTTACATCCGAACTTAGGAAGAAATCAGTCCCATCTTAGGAATTTAGGTTTGCTATGTAGTATGCGGACCGTCCTGTGGTTTCAGCTGGGGGGCTGGTTCCTGACTAATGTCGACTCGCTTGATCGAATGAGATGGGGATGGTGCCTCTTCCCCCTTTCCTGAAGGGTTGGACTTAGATTTTGGCATCAGGCGATCAGACGATATCTCAACGTACGGGTGCGATCCGGGCAGTCAACGAAGACGCAACAGGTAAACAATATATTGGGAGAAGGGGAGGTACGAAACGGAAGAACAGGGAGGGTCAGAGGCGCAGAAAGTCCCAGGGGGTAAAGTGGGGAAGAGAAGACGCTTGCTGGTCAGGGAGGTGATTTCGGAGGTACGATATCCACAGGGTTTTGAACGGTTTCTTGCTCTAGTCCGCTATCGTCACCTGAAACACCAGAAAGAAGACACACACACAAACCACGGCGCAAAACCTCCCGCCTCCTTACCAGTCTCCCAGCTGAAACCCCAGGACGGTCCGCCTACTACAGCTAATAATGCGACCGAGCGAGTTGATAGGAAATCGAAGAAGGAGCTATACTTCGCGGACAAAATTTTGTCAGACACGAGTTGTAATGCTGAAACAACTATGTCGTGGTCTGAGCCCCTCAGTGGGCCAATGGATGACACTGACAGAGGCATGCAGCCTCTTCAGAAAATTTGGTCGACTATGCCTGATCCTCGGGTGGGAAAATCGACAACCTTACTCCTCATGCCAACATCCACAGCCTTACGTAAGTTTTCGAACGTTTTGAGGCCGGAAGGCGGAGACCAACGAACTTCAGGGATATTAAAGTCATTAGCAGCAAAGTGATACTTAAAGCTTGATTCGGCCGCAGCATTAAGTGCCTGGGAGATACAACGATGGAAATACTCACTGGCGTTGGGTGGGTGACAGATACAGCCAACGAGTAATGAGAACTTTTTAAAAAAGCAACTTGGAGCCAGCAGCAGATTTCTACCGCGGAAAAATTCGGGAGGTCCAACGGCAAAAATGCATGTTTTCGCTTAACGTTTATGCAACTGCCCCCACCACGGCTGTCTTGATGACCATTTTGAACGCAATTAAGGCCTAAGACAGATAGTTCGGAGTCAGCTATCGTAGCTGTTGTCCATGTCTCAGTTACTTAAACGATATCGTGGCAATGGATGAACACCGGGTCCGAAGCAAAGACATCTTATTTAGCAAGGATCTAACATATAAAACAAAAAGTTTAAGGGGAAGGACCGTTTGTTTTTGAGGGAGGTGCGCTACGTTTCCCAATGTTAGGCTGCCCACAAAACATGTGATCCGGAAGCACTTGTCCGTTTCTGCAAAAAGTCTTATGGCATCAAAACGCCCTGATGTGAACAAAAAGGAGTAAGACTTGGGGGAGGGAATGATGGGCAGAGAAACTGATAACTATCGTTAGGTGGCTGATTTTTTACTGGAACTCTACAGACAGGATACTGCAACGTATTCCCGCCGAGATGAAACCGATAATCGGTTTAATTAACCGACCGCGTATGAATATTTGCACGAGAATTCAATTGATAAAACGAGCGTGGAGATGACATGTTGTGGGGTGGAGGACGCACTTATTCGACTGAGGCGGAAATTCTATTCCAAGCTGGAAATGGCAGCATTAATCGGCTTCAGGGGTTCAATATGAGGTCTGGGGGTAATTGGAAACACGCTATACATGGGGCCGTGGAGTTTGAGAGGGTGGCAGGTGATTGTGGAATTAAAGAGTTCTTAGAGGAACTGGATTTACCCAGTGTATGAATTGATGAAATTTCACTCGGGCTCATCTTTGAGTTGGGCACTTAATCATAATACTTTTAATGAATGCCAGTTTACAGGCATTGGCAGGGAGGCGTTAAACACAAAACCGTCCATCATTGAAAAACTTCTTTCAAAAAGGAGACAAAGATAATGTTGATGGTGGTTTTTTATAGTATGGAGGGTTCAGGGGAAAAAACTGCTGACAATGCAATGCCAACAGTCAAGAAATGGAGGAGTAGCGCAGCATCGGATATTGTCAGTCGCCAGTTCTTTTCATGAAGTTGGGGCTGGTCCGAACAGAAGCGCCGAAGAACAACTGTTACTGCTGGATTAAGAAATTTTCCCCGATGATGCTTTGGTTTACCAGGGGTTGCGGCGGAATTCGGAAGAGTAGTTTGTATGCATGGCGTGTTGTTGTGTCTGAAGGTCTCAGCATCAAGAGTAATCGAGCTCCCTACGGAATTCGCCGTGTGCTTTTTTAAGTTGTGCAGTCTTCTCTGCATAAGTGTGAGATCCCGGGAAACTAAGCAACGCCATTTATCTCAGAATTCCCTAGTTATCTTTTTCGTCGACAATATGAAATCAACTTCTATCAAGGAAAAGAGAGTAACTAGTATCGGCGCATTGTGGTTGAGTGAAGGCAATGGCTTAGCCTGCGCAACACTTGTAGCAGCTGCTCCAGTCCCCCTTTTCTCCAGCTCCCTTTGTCGGTCGATGACCGCGATAAGCACTGACAGGCCGCTGACGCACGACCACCCCCGCCGGCTAGAATTGGGACACCTCCTGTCCAGCTGCAGTGACTCCCGGCTGCACTCAAAAACTAGTATCGCCTAACGCGCGTCGAACGCTTTGGCTTGATTCCCGTGAGGCCTTGTGAGTATGCGCCCTCCACTCGTCCTCTAATTTGTCCAATCACACGACAACCACTCAGACAGTCACCCCCTCCTGCTGACCTAGACACTCACACCCGCGTAAACAACACACACCGTGACTGACGCTCTCCGTGAACGGACGCTTTTCTCTGTTGCAAGCAAACCGCCAACTTACGGCAACCTGCCCTGTGTACAGAATAAACTAGTCCTCACAGCTCCCTGACTTCTGACAGTAGACGAAACGAACTTATTGTGCGTGGTTTAAGTCGATCTCACATCCTTGACCGCCACAAAATGGTGACCCCGAATTTCCGAACACTGGAATTCCGCAAACTTTTCGTCCACAACAACAATCTTCGGGCAACCTACAGCGCGATGTTCCAAGACCAGAAGTCACTCATCAACTCAAATTCTCAAGGAGCTAGCGTATGCTTGGATCGGCTCGAGGAGGTATTAATGCGCCTGAAAGCCCAGCTCACTGCAGTTACCACTAACGGCCCGCGGCGAACACCAAACCGTCGCCGTACTTCCTCCGTTTCCCACACCCGCCGTTTACAATCTCCAAGTAGCGTTTGCTGGTATCACCAACAATTTGGAGGAGCAGCTCGACGATGTCTTCAGCCATGCTCTTTCAAGGCATCTCTAACGGCCTCAGGGAGACAATCCCACCCGACAGTAGAGTCCACTGCTGCTGGAAGCGTTGCCAATCTCCACACTCGCCGTTTGTTAATCTGGGACCGTATAGCTGGCGCCAAATTCCTTGTCGACTCTGGTGCCGAGGTTAGCGTGGTTCCACCAACTCCGGCTGAACGTAAAACCCGCAGCTCTTTCTGTCTAACAGCTGCCAACAACTCCAGCATCCCCACATTTGGACAGCGCTCCATCACACTTGATTTGGGTCTTCGTCGAATTTTCCGATGGGTTCTCATTATTGCCGACGTTTCCGTCGCTCTCATAGGCGCCGATTTCCTAGCTCACTTCAATCTTCTAGTCGATTTGAAGAATCGCTGACTCGTCGACTGCATCACCGACCTTCATGCCCGTTGTCAATCCGATGTGAACCCCTGCGTCAACCCTCTCACTGTTATGCCCATCTCTGACTGTCCTTTCCACTCACTGCTCAGGCAGTTCCCCCGCCTGACCAACCCCTCATTTCGAGAAGTGGACATCAAACACACAGTCACCCACCACATTTCCACCACCGGACCTACCAAATCTTGCCGACCACGTCGTCTTGCTTCGGACCGTTTGAAGATTGCCAAGGCAGAGTTCGAACACATGCTCGAGCTCGGCATCATCCGACAGTCCGACAGCTGCTGGGTATCACCCCTCCACCTTGTCCCCAAGAAGAATGGCGACTGGCGACCGTGTGGTGACTATCGGGCATTGAATTCAGTGACTGTCCCCGACCAGTATCCCGTTCCGCACATCCAAGACTTCACTCTTTCGCTACATGGTAAGCGAATATTCTCTAAGATCGACCTTGTGCGTGCCTACCACCAAATCCCGATCGAGGCCAGTGATGTTTCGAATTTACTCGTATGCTCTTTGGTCTGAGGAACGCCACTCAAACCTTTCAGCGATTCATTGATCAGGTTCTGCGAGGTCTCGACTTCGTCTACGCCTACATTGATGATTTGCTGGTGGCTAGTTCTGACGCTGCTGAACACGAGATTCATCTTCGACAGCTCTTCGAACGGCTCGACTCCTACGCCGTTATCATCAATGCCGCCAAATGTGAGTTTGGAGTCCCCAGTCTTATCTTTCTTGGTCACGAAGTGAACTCAGATGGGATAAAGCCCGTCCCGGAAAAAGTTTCGGCCATATCAACGTTCCCCGTCCCGACAACCATCAGCCAACTACGCCGATTCTTGGGGATGGTGAACTACTATCACCGTTTTCTTCCCCATGGTGCCACCATACTGCAGCCTCTCAACAGCTTGCTGACCCACTCCAAGAAGACACTAGTGATGACCGAGGAGGCCGTCAGGTCCTTCAATGACGTCAAGGCCGCACTTGCGGACGCAAAATTGCTTGCCCATCCTCGCTCAGATGCCCAACTAACTCTCATGACAGATGCTTCCAGCACTGCCGTTGGTGCGTCACTTCAGCAAACTGTTCGTGGTGTTCTACAGCCTTTGGCTTTCTTCTCGAAGAAGCTCAGCCCAGCAGGGACCCGCTACAGTGTCTTCGGCCGCGAACTCCTTGCCGTCTATCTATCCATCCGGCACTTCCGCCATTTCCTCGAGGGTCGTGAATTTGTTGTTCTAACAGATCACAAGCCACTCGTTTTTGCACTGAGGACCTCTCCCGATCGATACTCGCCCCGTGAAATCCGTCATCTTGACTTCATCTCACAGTTTTCCTGCGACATCCAACATGTCCACGGTAAGGAAAATGTGGTTGCTGATGCTCTTTCAAGAATCAAGATGGCCTCCATCACAACTGACGCCATAGACTTCACACCCATGGCTCAGCGATCGGATGACGAGCTCTCCCAATACCGCCACGAGAACTCTTCTTTACGCCTTCAAGAGGTCCCCCTTCCCACTGGCACAGGCACCATCACGTGTGACCTTTCTACCGGACACGAACGTCCTTCTGTTCCAGCAACTTTACGACGACGAGTGTTCAACGCTCTCCACAATCTATCCCACCCTGGAGTCCGGGCGACAATGAAACTCATCACTGACCGATTCGTCTGGCCCAACATCAACCGGGATGTACAGCGTTGGACCCGCTCCTGTCTACCATGTCAACGAGCCAAAACGCATCGGCATACTATTACTCCGCCAGGAACTTTCGCCACCCCTGATGCACGCTTCAGTCATGTGCATATTGACCTGGTAGGTCCGCTGCCACTATCTAACGGTTCTACCTATATGCTGACATGTACTGATCGCTTTACTCGGTGGCCGGTTACTGCGCCCATTCCGGACATCAGTGCTGAAACCGTTGCGAAAGCTTTCTTGACTCATTGGGTGTCCAATTTTGGAGTTCCCGCGACTGTCGCCACTGACCGCGGATCCCAATTCGAGTCCATGCTGTTTCGCGAACTCACTTCCCTTCTCGGTAACAACCGAATCCGAACAACAGCGTACCACCCTCAAGCAAACGGTCTCGTCGAACGTTTCCATCGACTGCTCAAGACTTCCCTTATGGCCCAGCCTGATCCTTCCCGATGGTCTGATCACCTTCCCTGGTGCTGTTGTCCCTCCGTTCCACTCTCAAGGCCGACATCGGTTGCACTGCAGCTGATCTTGTCTACGGAACCTCCCTACGACTGCCGGGTGAGTTAGTTTCTCCTTCAAACACGCTAACGTTTTTTGAACCTTGCAGTTATGTGGAGCGACTACGTAGTGCCATGCGCAATCTCCGCGCAACGCCCCCTCGGGCGTCACCGGCCAATTCCTTCATCCCACCCGACCTGGATAAGTGCGATTTCGTCTGGGTTCGGCATGACGCTGTCCGACGACCACTCTAACCACCCTATGACGGGCCGTATAAAGTCCTTCGCCGATCTGACAAAGATGTTGTCATCGAACGCAACGGCAAGACCGACACAGTCAGCATTGATCGCGTCAAACCGGCCTACATCGACGACAGTGACCATTCCTCAACTCAAAAACGCACCCCGCCTCAGACAGTGCGGCCTCCTCCACCTACTGGCGATAGCCCCCCTCCGGTTCGCCACACACGATCTGGTCGCCACGTCCACTGGCCCGACAGGTTTGTGGCTGGCTAGCGTGTCGACGCCTTCACTTTGTTTGGTGTCTGGGGGGGAGTTGTAGCAGCTGCTCCAGTCCCCCTTTTCTCCAGCTCCCTTTGTCGGTCGATGACCGCGATAAGCACTGACAGGCCGCTGACGCACGACCACCCCCGCCGGCTAGAATTGGGACACCTCCTGTCCAGCTGCAGTGACTCCCGGCTGCACTCAAAAACTAGTATCGCCTAACGCGCGTCGAACGCTTTGGCTTGATTCCCGTGAGGCCTTGTGAGTATGCGCCCTCCACTCGTCCTCTAATTTGTCCAATCACACGACAACCACTCAGACAGTCACCCCCTCCTGCTGACCTAGACACTCACACCCGCGTAAACAACACACACCGTGACTGACGCTCTCCGTGAACGGACGCTTTTCTCTGTTGCAAGCAAACCGCCAACTTACGGCAACCTGCCCTGTATACAGAATAAACTAGTCCTCACAGCTCCCTGACTTCTGACAGTAGACGAAACGAACTTATTGTGCGTGGTTTAAGTCGATCTCACATCCTTGACCGCCACACACTAAAACCGAAGCCAATACTTTGCAGAAACAAATGCGCAGATATATGATTTGCAATGTTACGCAGTATAAAATTATGCTTACGTTTTATCCTCTCCTTGTATCGCAACTTATTACCTCAATAACTTCTAACGCTTGTTCTATAACATTGCCGCAACTAGAGTTTGCGTCGCCGAAGATGAAAAGATCGGGTATCTCGTCTGGTCATTTTCTCTAAGGACTAGCAGAGGCGTAGCTCTCAGCGACTAAAAGGTCAACAGGTTCTATATGGACCAACGAAATTTTGGAGTTAGCCGTATATATAGACGGCTGCGAACACGCGCTGGCACCCATTGTGTCTCCGGCCACAATTCTAGCACTCAGAGATGGCGAGGAGGCCGCGAGCCCTCGCATTTTAGCGAGAGTTCTTCGAAGCATTACAAGGTACTGGACGGGTTTTTCGCAGCGGTAAAAAGATTAAAATATTGTTAACTTACAACAAAACGAACTGGACAGCAAATACAACTGCCGCTTTGCCATAGTAACTAAAAGAGATGGTTTGACACGACGTCAATAAACAGGCAATTGGAAAAATGCAGCTAATTTAGTAGACCATCTTATAAGACAGAGGAAAATTATACCCTGCAATAAAAACCTTCTTTTAAGAGGAACCGAATCACAAATGCGCATTAATTGCCTAGGAATATCGAAGCAAAGGCAAAGCTTCATTTATCTCTGAAATTGAGCTGCGCACATTGACCTTACATGCATACATTATTGTGTCGCTCATTAAACGACCTCTCTAGCTAAAATGTTTAAAAAAATTTTTACCATTAGAACTGCTGATTTCTCCGTAGCCAGTCAGGTTCTCAGCTCTTCGCAACGTGGATTTTTTGCTCGATCACCCTTGTGGAACATGTCATACGTCTTTTCGGAATTACCTCTCTTTGTAAGGACCACTTTTCCGTCATCGTTATCTATTTTATATCCTAGTATAGTCTTTAATAAAGTGCCACATTGACAGCTGTTAGTTAGACTAGAGACTCTAGGACCTGGTGGTCCCTTTTTAGATTTTAGCAAATGGCACCTATGTAGCCGGAACCAAAAGGTCTTGGCGGGGATCCCATTTTCCGATGCGGACCCTATTGTAAGTCTTATCCTTCGAAGTAATATGTTAGGTCCACTTTTGTTTTTGGTTTACGTTAACGATATTTCGTCGGCAGTTAAATATTCTCGATCTTTTATTCGTGCTGATCGTCTCAAATACCTATATTCTTTCTTTAATTCTACGAAGCAACATTGCCTGGAGCAGATCCATAACGATTTGCTCGCCCTTTCCACATGGCACTCAACGTGTTAAATAGAAATATCCCCCTTTAAATGTTGATACATGTGTTTCAGACCTGAAATGTAACACCAAACTGAGTAATGCTCAGCACGGATTTCTCATGGCTCGGTCTTGTGACACCTGTCAGCTCTCTTTCTTTGACCATGTTCTCCAATGTAGGGACGATGGCTTTGCACTTCACACAGTCTATTTCGATTTCATTAACAGATTTTTTATCGTATTGACCATGCTCTTTTTCCCTCAAACCTTCCCCCTTTCGAAATAGGTGTTAAACTTCTGAAGTTTGCATCCCCCTACCCTGCCGCTCGCACAAAACGTGTTAAGATTTCCCATGCCATCTCCAACCCCACATGTGTGAGGAGTGGAGTCATTCAGGGTAGTGTACTCGACCCGCTTTTATGTTGCCTTTTTGTTAACGATGTACCCGATGTATGTCAAAATGGCAAACCCTTCATGTATGCCGATGATCTGAATGTTGCATATCAATATAAGCCGGCAGATCGTGACATCGTGCTTGAACTCCTGCAGAGCGACCTACAGGCCTTTGCCCAGTGGTGTCGCACATGGCGCCTTTCTCTTTCTTGGCATTAATGCTTAGTCGTGGTGGTTGGCGACGGTCACCAACCTCAACTAATTATTGACAGTCACGACATAAATGTGCCTGAAGTAATTAAGGATCTGGGCTATCATATTCCTAGTGTCTTAATATTTGGGAGCACTGCGCCGTGATAGTCTCCAAAACACGTAGATCGACCGGGTTTTCCTTCAGAATTTTAAAACTAGAGATGTTATAATTCGCCTTTACAACATGTACGTTAGACCTGACCTGCAATACTGTTCGTTTTTACTTAACCTCATGCGTGTTGCTGGTCGGAAGAAAATAGGATCCGTCCAGCATTTTTTACCAAATTATTTTAACCACAGACCACCGGAATTTGGTTTACCAAGAACGTTGCCGGCTTATAGGCCTTGATCCTTTCTGATTTCGTCAATTTCAAAAGGGGCTATTTTTACGGTTTAAGCTCTTAAATAGCCGTACTTTTAACATGCTTACTATTTTTCAACATCTTACCCACCCCCGGCGTAACAGTCAACGTGAGGTCTTTTTATTACTTCCTCTGGCACGTACTGTTAAGTATCGTCTCTTCTTTTATGAAACTGAAGCTGCTCTTCGGAATAATCTACCCAGAAATGTGAGAACTCTGAAAATTGACCCTTTACTTAAGAGAACTATTACTCAATTTTTGCATTCAGAATAGTTCCCAAAAATATTTGGTGCTGAATCCAGTGTTCAACACTACCGTAGCGATGGCGCTTGTGGTCTCTGACTACTATGGCCGGTCTCACCAGGAGCCATTTCTTTGGCCAACAGCGACAGCTGTTCTTCGGCGCTTCTGTTTGGACTTGACCCAACTTCATGAAAGGAATTGGCGACTGATAATATCCGATAACGTGCAACCCTTCCCTTCTTGACTGTCGACAATTTGCGGTCAGCAGTTTTTTTTCCGAACCCTCCAAACCATAAAAACCACCATCAACTTTATTTTTAATTCTTTTCGACAGGATTTTTTCACTGCTGTCTGGATTTGTGTTTGACGCTTCCCTGACAATGCCTGTAAACTTTTATTAAATAAAATTATTATTATTATTATTAAAACTGTGTCTTCCACCAGTAATTATTCAGGTCTAAACCGTACCAATGATCAAGATCCTTTGCCACATGGCCAAAGCTGCCTAGATGTGTTGTTCCATTTCCTATAATCTCTATCCTCTCGAGAATAAATTAAGACTTTTTCGAACATGTGTCCAAAGGATTCTGAAACATAGCCACCCATGCTTTAATTAAATGAGCAGGGTTATTCGTTCCAAAATTAAAGGTGACCGAAGAGATTTTACTAGAAAGCTCTTAGGCATGATACTTCCAAATAATTTCTACGCAAATAAATGTCATCAAACTAATCTAAAATTTTTCCAAGAACCTGCCTTCTGCCTTCTTCTTCGTATTAATAACAGCTCAAATCGTCCTCGGATTTTAGCTCCCACACCTGTTACTCCCTCATTCAGCCATCTCGATTCTTCCTCAATTATAGTTCATTCCCCACCTCCTCCTCCTCCTCCTCCTCCTCCTCCTCCTCCTCCTCCTCCTGTAAACACTGTCCTTTAAGTCTCCAGATAAACCTTTCTCTGAAAATACCTGTCACTCATTAGAAGATCGTCAACTAGTCTGTATACTTTAAGTGAGCGCCCTGTCTTTATCTTACCACCTGCTCCACAAACTGTCAATTTTCCTCGTTCTTTCTGACCAGGTTTCTGTATGACTGTGAAAAACTCATTGGGCATTTAGAACGTTGTCGCCAGATTCCTTAATCCGCCCACATTTCCCTTCCGGCGCGTGGTTTTGCTTTTCACGACCACTCAGCAGAAATTTTGATTATTTGTCAGTCTATTCAATGTGTTCCCCACAAAGCGCGATATCCTCCCCCAAACAGAAGTCTCGGGGAAGTAGCCGGGGCACTATTAACCTACAGGCTACAAATCGCCACGGTTTCATTCGCAGCCAACCCTATCAGCAGTCCGTTTTGGAACGTCAAGATCTCACGCTAGGTTTGCCACCACATAGCATCCGTTCATCTCATAATCGCATATATTTTCAAAATGACCTCAAGAACACGCCGAGCATACGAAATGCAAAATGAATCACTTGCTCTCAGTGATCCGAGTACTGCCAAGTCTGTCGCTAACATCTTCCGTCATCAGTAGTTCACTAAACGTGGTCAGGAACTTCCACACCCGCTAAACTATAACAAAATGTTCCTTATCGATTACACTGATAAGGCGGAGTTGGTCAGTGCTTTTATTGCAAAGCACCTTAATACTGTGTCCAACCCAGTCCCTTTCTTTCGTTCACTCTCAGATAATATACTGAGTTCAATCGACGTCTCCTCAAGTCCTATTAAGAAACATATAAGTCGCTTGAAAGACGCACATTGCTCCAATCTTCCACACATTGTCAATATCACTCAGAGAGATCGGTCTTATTTCACGTGCAACTCCTGCATGGGGATTCCGCCGCCTCCTTTTATTGCGTCTAAGCGCCCTCTCTTTTTTGCTTCCAAGTACGCCCTCGGTTGGAATAATCTTAGACCAGAAATTAGGCCATCGCCTAAGTAATCGCGAATACCCTACACTGGAAAGTATAAAAGCACCTTTAACCGTCTCATTCCCAAACACTCAGCTTCTTGACTTTGGGAAAGGTCCTCCTGGGATTTAATGGTAGATCGCGTGGAAACCCCACTCATCTTTTCATAACCCGTCGTTTATAATTAGCTCACTCCTCCTCGTAGCGATGATTTTCGCGGTTCTTGATGTCATCTCCTTATTTCGACCCCAAGCGGTCTGTCGACGCTCATGACGGAATCATCTATATTCGCCACCTTCCAGTAGCTTGGTCGGCCTGTAAAGAGATCTTATGGTCGTGTCTCCCTTACCCCCTACTCGACCTGACCCGAAGTGGACTGTGACCGATTGCATCTGGGTTCCTCCCGTCTCGCTACTTTGACGCGAATAACCTAATCCGGTGTATGAATTCTGCCCTGGCTAACAGCACGGATCCATTACAGGTCCAATTTGCATGTGCTCCGCCTATGCTATCGATATAATTTTGTAAGAGCGGATGCCACCATGATGAGGTGGCCGAGTAACATGAACCGCCGAAAACCTTTGCGAGGGTTTCGAGGTCAAGTCCGCGTCTACCGAAGTATATTGAGAGGAAAATCTGGTGGGCGTTTTCAACTAATTCCTGATTTGGAATGTTGATAACAATTTTACATTCAACAGCGGACAAGCAGACATAGAACAAAAATAAAACGACTCAGCCATTTTAGGCGTTAAACGGAGAAGCCAGACAAGCAGTTAGGGACAGTGTTTTGGAGCGGTAGGTTGTGTAGATCTCGTCGAAATTCTGGCAGAAGACGTAGTTTTTCAGAATAATGGTCCAAGTCGTGATTACGAGTAAATGTGCCGATGACTGCAAACACAGTGAGCAGCTCTTAAATCAAATTTTTTTGGAAAGCAGCCGTGTTCAATGAGAGAGGAAGTCGTCTGAAAGCTTCCTTCTCGCGAGTGTAAATTCGAATCGCGAGTGTTTGTCGAGTGGGGCGTTGGCATTTCCACTGATGAGCAATAGCTCTATGTCTTAAAGACGAATATTTGAAAATTTTCTGTTAGCGAGCTGGGTAAGACCAGTTTTAATGCCCCGCTTGGGACAAGGGATCTACAAATATTGTGCATCAGTAATCTTGAATCATCGTCGAACGTCAGAGTGCATTAACCTTGACAATAGGTATTTTCTACAAATGGCAACGGAACCTTGAAGGAGGTCACAGTAGACAGCCTATCTAAGCCCCAATCATCACACCTGGTTCTTCATCGTGCGGTATTTTTTACGTGCGTACCATTTTGTTACTTTCTCCACTAAACTATTATGTTACGACAAATTTACCTAACACTCCTTCTGCACATTTTCTGTACGTGCACTTCTTCAACCATACACAAACCTCCTGCCCGTCGCGTGCCCGTAATCACTGAAGATCCACGAGACTCCTTCGCCCTCCGGAAAAGGACCCTGTCCCTACACTGTCGCGCAGAGGGTGAACCGCCACCTCTTATATTGTGGTATAGAGACGGCCGACCTGTTGAATCATTCCGTGACAAGCCTGGAACTTCGAACAAGGTAATTAAAGCCGAGGAGCTGATTTTCCTATCCTTCGATGAGGAAGACGAAGGTGTGTACTACTGCAATGCGTCGAATTCGGAAGGTTGGTCAAAGTCGAGGGAGGCACGCGTCAGCTTGTCGTTTCTGGAACCCATCACTTCGGGACCCGAAAGCCAGACTTCCAGCGTCGGCGACACTGTTGTTTTGCGTTGTGAAATTCCTAAAGGCCTGCCTGAGCCTATTATTGAATGGTATCATAACAGACAGCTCGTAAACTACTCTTCGCGCATATTTATAAGCAATGGCAGTCTCCATATCAAGAGCCTACAGAAGACAGATGCGGGAAACTATCAATGCGTCGCCAGAAATAGGGCAGAACGTCGCGAAAGCCTGACTGCTGTGTTAACCGTTTATAAAAAGCCATGGTTTGAAGTAGCGCCCTCGGACCAGCAGGTAAAAGTTGGGGAGGATGTGGAATTCCACTGTATTACCGATGGTGACCCCAAGCCCTCAATACTCTGGAGACGCGACGGTGGATTATATATTCCCGATGATCGAGCCATCCTTAAAGATGGAAGGAATCTGCGGATTCGTCAGGTTCGACGTGAAGACGAAGGGATATATGTATGCAAGGCGGAGAATCTAGTTGGAAGCATTGACGCCTCGGCCAAACTATCAGTGCTGTCCTCACCCAACTTCACACTCACACCAAAGGATACAACAGTTTTGGAGGGCGAGAAGGCCGTCTTCCATTGCCAAGCGACAGGCTTGCCGATACCCTTCATACGCTGGCTGCACAATGGGGAGTATTTTTTGGTACCAGATTACACGAGTGCGTCTTTTCCAAAAGTAGGTAGAATATATGTCGCACACAATGGTAGCTTAGTCATATCTGCCGCACGGAAGTCTGACGAGGGCAAATATGAATGTCGGGCTTCGCAGAAAAATGGGATGGTGCGTTCCTCAGCCAATCTTCTTGTAAATGACTTCAATTCCCTCCCCATAGTGTTAATTGAACTCGGGCCACAAAATCAAACATTCTTATACGGAACGACAGCTACCCTTCATTGCAAAGCACGGGTTCTCGAGTCTTTAAATTTGGCAAACTCGAATATGGAAAATTTCCCACGGACCTCTTATGGAGTAAGCATCTCTTGGCTGAGGAATGGCAAAAGCTTGGTTCCCGTGGATGACCCCCGAGTTGTTATGATTTCTCAAGATACTCTTCAGATAAACGAAGTGAATTTCTTCGATGAGGGTAACTATACTTGTCGTGCTGAAGCATCTCCTACTTCTCACTCACAAAGCCCCCTCAAATTTGCTGAATGGACTGCATATTTGAAAGTTTCACGCCCTCCACCGCAGCCTTTGCAGCGCTCGTTTATTCCTGAAAACCTACCTCACCCGCCCGAAACATTTGATGTCATTGACGTTGGAGATACTTGGATATCAGTTCGATGTGAAGTATCTATGGACACGGCTAACGGCGATATTGACATGTTTGGGAGTAAAGCCTCGTCTTTGGCTCCTAGAACGCCTCCAAACGCCAAATCAAGTGTTAGCGTTCGCATTGAATATCTGGCTCTTGATGGATCTCATGGCTGGCTGATTGCAGCGGTGGGCGAACCAAATGAGCTTATAGAAATAACAGGTCTCCAACCAGAACACGGGTACAGAATACTAGCTAGGGTTGTCAACTCTCATGGCGTTAGCAAGCCCCTCATTTTGCCGCATACCATCTATACGCGAAGGCGCGTGCGATACGTTGATTTGGATTACCAGGTTCTTCAAGACAATTTGCAGTCAGTCCGCTTCAGCAGGCTAAGATTGACTAGTTTGTCTACTTCGGAAGTTGAAGTTTCCGGCATGGTTTGCAGCCTTTCCACTTCCTTTCAACGCCTAACCGGAATAAGGTTTAGATACAAACCTGTCCACCTATCTCGGTGTTTCTCTAAAGGATTCAACACTCTTCACAATCAGCCACCGGTATCCGTCGGGGGTTCGACTTCCCCGGATAATGACTGCATCGACTCTGACGAACGAACCTTTCTGCCGGAAATGAAGACTTTTGGTCCGCCTGAGTACATGGAATCAGTTGTGGATAATTATTGCAGCCTCCACGTTCCTCCTGATCAAGATGCTTTTTGGGAGCTTTCCGATCATCTCAACCAGGAGAACCCAGTCCCCGCAGATAAGTCTAAATTTATGGAGTGGGACTCGAATTCGGCTCCTTTATTCCGCCAAGTGATCGATGGTCTCAGTCCCTTTCTTTGCTATGAAATCGTTGCCGAGGCTTACTCTGATCACCAACAGCTCGGCAGAGTTTACGGCTCAAGTAGTCGCAGTTCAACCATTCTTACCTTCGACAGCAAACCAAGCGAAGCTCCCCAAAATGTCCGTGCTCGGTGGACCGGCGGAAATGCAACAGTTCTGGAAGTAATGTGGAGGCCGCCTCCAGCCTCTTCGGCTAACGGCCTTATTACTGGGTACCTTCTGCGTATACTTGGGGGTGCTACCAACTTTAGCAAAACATTCAAAGTAAGTCAGCGTTTGTTTGTTGATCAAAATATGTCTAGCTTACAATGGGCATTTTCTAATTGATATTGGAAGCATATGTACAGTCTTAACCTTCGGCTGTTTTAATGTCGGAAAGAGCTTAAATTAAAATGAAGTCAGATGTGACTTTGTCCGGAATTGTAATAAGATTGCAAATAGGCTTTATGTTGCAAATTGTCCTAATTTTGATTTAGTGTTAATTTATGTCTTTTGAATAACCTTTTTTATGCTGAAACAATGTGCCTAATTCAGTATCGTTTACCATAGGCTCACTAAGGGTTGTTCTTTTTTAAAAAAATGTTTAAAAATATTTTCTTTGGAAAACCGATGGCACCACCTCGTTTGACAAACATTTTCTTCCAAAAAAATTTTGTATCGTCCACCACGTGAACCGATTTAGCTTAGCTCGACGTCTACACTGCTGACTCTCCTCGATCAAAGGTTGTCTCCTTAACGGTCGTCGACCAGTTTCCAGTATATTCTCCGGTAAATAAAATTTACAGGCTATTTATTCTCTACAGGTTGTAAAGCAACTCATTGGACAACTTTCCCACTTTGCTACCACAGCAGTGTCCCTTTTGGAAGAAGTTCCGCGACCTATTTACGGCTTTCAGCAGTTCGTTTGCATGCACATGAAGTCCAGAGTCAAGCCTGTTTGATGCGTTTTCTTTGTATCAACGATTATTGAGGTCATAGGTCGATGATAAATTTGTTCCTTCGATGCATAACCTGTTTGTAAAGGCTATTCTTCCAAACAAAAGCATGCCAATGCTGTCCGACAGCCACGCTTTTTGAACTCATTCAAAAGTTTCATTAAATGTAGCACCTGTAAGAGCATGTGCACTCCAGAGAGTTCGGCTGTTGCCAACGAGAGACTCGCCAGCGTTCTAAGTGTGCATTGATCACTTGGGCCCGAATTTGTTTTTTGTGTAACGAGATTGCGCGGCATTTACTTACTCCACTTCCACGCCTACCGCGTCCGAACGATAAGTTGAGTTCGGGGCGAACGGAGGTGAACATGAATGGAGTGGTTCACAAAATTAAGCTGTCCGCGTACGTGCACTACGCACGTGTTGTCCATCGGACCTCAAATATGGAGGAAGGGGTCTTGAACCAGTGTTTAGTTGAATACCAGATATTTCGCATTAAGGAAACATATTCTACTCCTCAACCCTGACATAGCCTATCAGTTGGCAATCTTCCCTAATACAACTGTATGCTGTTTGTGGCAGTCCGACAACAAATTCATTTGTCCATGATGAAGGAGCCGGATCGACTCTACTTTCTTCCCTCCAACATGTATCAGTCGCCAATCCGAGGCAATCAAACAGAATATGGGATTGGGTGCAGCGATTGACTTGACTTAGAGCCGCTATCTAACGCTTGCAACACAGGCTCCGACTTCGCATGCGTAAGAGGTGTCGTAAAGACCACAGTAAAAAGGATCCTACAAACAAACGCCCTTGACGTACTCGCGCGTCCTGGGCGTTGTGTGTCTGTCTCTCTTCAATGTGTTAAGGCGGTACATCGAAGTAGGTAAGGAGTTAAAGGAATTATGCCATACAACCGCGCCATCGGCGCCCGCCGTACACTGTGCTCCCCACCGCTTGTCCTCTCTAGAACATAATGACATTAGTGCGAATGATTTACCTCGTTTTAGGTGGGCAGTTTGGTGATCACTATCGTAATGTCCTGGAATATCTGTAAGTTGAGACCAGTGGCGATTTCCATGAGTCTAGACAACTGTGAACGGATGCCTACTCAGAATTAAGCCGCTGCCATGCAATGCCAACGCCACTCAGCGTTATTTCGTAGCTAAACATGACCGAATAGTAATTGTGGAAAACTTCAAAGAATGAAACGCATCTACACTTGTGTTGCAGTTAACTTCCTATCGTATGCGTCATTTTGGCCTTTCCGCTGTGCAGTGGGGGAGATTCAGGCTAAAGAAGGGTAATGAGTCAAGCTATTGCCGCGAAAATCCAAGCGTCTAGGCCAGGTCAATGTCCTTATCGTTTTACAGGGCGACAAACCACAGTACGCCAAATTGCAAGCGTATAAGAAAATCTGCCTCTGTATGGCGTCTGTGGCGCCTATTTTTGGGCGACTGGCAACTACAGAAGCATTGTTCCGATCGGTATCCACGCCTCAGAGTTCCGTATTGACCTGGAACCACTGACAACACATTCCAATTTTTTACGTCTCCCTCATTTCCTACCTCATGACTAGCAGAAATTAATTCTGTCAGCCAAACCGACGGTGGCACAGAGGGACACGTCAGTGTTTCTTGTGTTATCTGCTAAGGCGGACAACCGCACCGTGGCCATCCAGAAGGGTGCCTTCTTCCATTTCCTTTATTTCGCCTGCGAGATGGACGGTGGACAGGTGGAAGAAGAATCTATCTAACCCTGGCGATTTTGCCGTAAATGATTTTCGACAACAGTTTTTTAGCTGAAACCAGTACCCCGATTGTCGGTTCTGTAGAAGCCAAGGCGACCCCGACTACTTACACTAAACTCCCGTGATAATTAATCAGGGGGCCAAACGACTAAAATCTCGTTCCTACCCCACGCCATATGAAACTCTTAGCGGTGAAGTCACGATTTTCCACTCTTTCCAAAGACATTTTCGAGGTAGGTGCGTATTTTTGCTTCCGCTGCGACTCTTAGTTAGTTTGTTGAGTTGGCCTCGTCTTTACTCCGCAAAAGATCCAATTAAGTATCGGACTCCCAATTAATGGGTGACATTTTCCTGAGCAGACGTGATCAGCGTAAGCATATTAAAATAAGGTCAGGCACGTTGTTGAGATTTGGTTCTGGGCTGCATCGAGTAGATAGGTTTCGCTTTGCATGTTGACCATGGAGCCGACATTGTTTTCACCAGTTCTTGAATTGGACTACCTGTCTTGTATGACTTAAAGGCGCTTACATTATTCCCCCCTTTTTCACTCGGCGGAGATGGATGTCTATATCCATCAGACTGTTAGAACTTTTCTTCCCCTGCCACAATGAGACTTTGGGGGTTTTCTTCTAGCTGATCTATAATTTTCCGCACTTGAGCGTCTACGGCTGCTCGGCATGTCTCTGTCCGTGCGCAAATACGCGTATATGTACAATGTAGCGTCATTCTGAGCGCCCGCTTGTGTCCTTGGTGATTTCACCAGCAGCGGATGTACAAATGCGTCTGGTCGTACTGGACAGGCAGTAGGAAGTTTTCAGACATTTTCGCCTGACGGCAAGTGAGGGGAGCATAGAGGTGTACAGTTTCCGCTTCATGTTGCACTGGGTAACCGGCGAGGCTGGAGTGTACCGGCATACCGTTGAGAAAGAGGGCTACCCCATCCCTGCACCGATCTGCATCTACTTCTTCTAATCCCTTCCAGTGAGTCTATTTTTGTTGTCTCTGACAGCCATAGACTGGACTCAGCCACCCCCACCTCTCGGTAGCATTCACTTCCATTCAAACCTTACACTTCTCTTAGTGCGCGACGCTGGAGGGCTCCGCACTTGTCTCTGCCACATTTTTTCACGGTCGTTTGCCTGCTCTCAAAGCGGAATTCCTGCCCAACTCCAAGCCTTGCCACTGAGTTCTTTCGATCGTAACCCTTCCTCTTCAGTTTCCCGCAAGCCCTGTCGGCCATGTGCGCGAATGTTTACAGTTCAGGGATGGTTAGGGTTTTTTACTTAGTTTGGCTTTGCGCCTAGTTTTACATACTTGCAGTAGCTGGCTTATTTCATGAAATATGTTTTCCATTAGGAAGGATTACTCAGGCAAGGCTCTAATGTCGGTTACCGTGCAACGTAGTCGCTAGGTATCTCAGTCACGCCAGGATGCCGGATTTTGAACGAGTTTCTTTCTGGGCGCCTGCAAAAAACATCTGGTTAAAGTGACCAACTCACTAGTATGATTGCTTCCATTAATTTCCAATGCCGTTCTCAATTCAAATATGTTTTGTAGTAAAGATGCACAAAATGTTTTCTCTTGTACTCGTTTCACCAAGGATTACGTCGTCTTCGAATTTTATACTTCGGATAAGGGCATTCTTCGGTTTTAGGAAAAATTCAACTCCCGAATAGTTTTGAACCCGACCTGCGTTTGCACATGCATTTAGGACTCCAGAACTCCGTATATTTCTTTACGCTACCAAGAAGACGTCATACAGGGCTAATAAGATGCTGCAGTGCTGTGGACCAGATGCGATTATGTACGATTGGAAATTTCACAGTCTTAAAAATTCTTAGTTCGGAACTTTTTTAGGGACCGAAAGGTACCCTTTCATACTATTTAAGTGGTCATTTTTGCCGTGTAATTTTTGCAGGCGGTCGGAAAGAAACTCATGCAGAGGCCGGCATCCTGGCGTGACTGAAATACCTTGGGATATGCCGCACGATAATCAGTACTACAATCCGACCTGAGTAATTTTTTCAAGTCGAAAATATGCTTTAAAACCTTGGTTAACATGTCATGAGGTAGGCCAGCTAGTGCACTTGCACCTGTTTCGGTCAACGGAAGTTTTGGTTTTTTCTGGCCCCAGAGTTTGTGGCCTAGGCCGTGAATGCTCATGGATATTTGAGGGAATGTGGTGTAAGCAAAGTCTCCCGTCCTGACTCACCTATGGACGGGGCCCAACTCCGCAACCGGACGGCAGCGAGAGGCCTTATTGGATAGCACTTAACGTGCGTCATCTTACTGCTTCTCTGAATTGTGGCGCCTTTTGTAAGTTTGTAGCGTGCCAACTCGGTGCCCAATCACATTTGAAGTATTACAGTTGCCTGGTCCGCGGCCACTTATTTTTTAATACTTTAGAGCCTTCCAATTTCGCAGTCAGCCTTTGCCGACGACTGTCCCCATTGTCCGCCATCTGTGAACTTGCAGCATACCTTGGAGCTAGCGTAACATGCAGGTCCGTTTTCCCGCGCTCCTGTCGTCCTAATCTTATAACTGCTAAAACCAATGGTGGTTATAGGGCGCGCTAATTTTACCACTCCTTACACCTCTTCTAACCTCGTCTCGGTCTCACGTGTTCGTCCCACGCGTTCTCTGAGCTGACCGGCGGAGGGGAGACCTCAATGTTTCAGCCAAGTGTGCATATAGTTTGCATTTTCCAGGCTTGTTTAGTTCGCGCTGCCGAGTTTTACAGGGCTCGGAACCCCAAGTGACACCAATGGTTTATTATTTACGGACTTCGCCAGACTGACCATGTTTTGAGAATGCAACCACGAGGCATACCTCATCGATTCTTATCTGATCGGACAGTTCTCTGCTAAAGACAGAACGTAAGTGGTTGCGGCGAATGTTTTAAGACCTGCTTGTTGTCGCAGGTAGAAGTGACCGGTGTACACTCTCCGATATACCGTCCTCACTACTGTATGATAGATTGCCTATCGGACAATAGTTTTCTAGTTCAATTGTGGTCCTCTGTCTTATCTGACTCTTTACTCTTAATCTTCACCTTGCACTTTTACTGGGCACCCAACCGCTATATCAATCCCACCTTTTGACTTATAGAGAACGAACCGTGCCACCAGTGTACAGTTCTGTACTACCAGTACCTTTCTTCATTTGGCAATTGCCTCCTGTCATTCGCCATTAGGTCTTTGTGCGCACGCTAAGATAGTGGCGGGAGAGAAAACAGAGGTTCCCCCAAACGTGGGGATTT